CCAGTAAGAGGGGGCATGTGGTGCGACAGTTCTTGCCGGCTACAGAAATTCCAATTTTTGCAAGGGAGGGAATCCGCGGGGTGCGTGAACCATTTCGCTTAAACTTTACACCACCCGGAGCAGAGTCAACCCTGCGTTGCGCAGTTCGCAACGGCACGTTGAGAGATCCTCAACGCACGCTGTATGGGCGGAGACACAGACGGCTCGAGCATGCGAGTGTGAATGTTCGCGCGAGAGAACGTGTCTAATCGGGCGAAACTGCGCAACGTGGCCGTTGAGAACTGCGCAACGCAGGGTTGACTCTGGTCATCCCCTCCCCTGCAGAAAAAGTGGATTACTCAAGTAAAATGCACTGCTGCGCCACACGCCCCCCCCCTATTGGATGAGCCCCGATAATATTTATTTTACTTGTAATCTTATTTTTCACTATTTCGATATTTTCTGTAGATCTCCATAATTTTTTCGTTTTCCTTGGTTTTTTTTGTCATTTAATTATTCAAGTTCTGCCCTCCTTTTTCACTATAACTTTTACCTTTTCTTATACTTGGCAATTTTTCTTATAAGTTCTTCTTTGATTTATTACTCGTGAATTTAGCAGCAATCGCTGGGATACTGTAACTTCCCCCTCCAAGTGTTTCCCTGGGTTTTTTAAGACCTTCTCTCCCATACGACTTCAGTGATGTCAGTGTCCATCTCACACTAGTTTTTCATTAAAATTGCAAGTGACATCCGGCATCGGTGATTACTTTGAAGCTAATGAGAAAGCGAAATCTGCAAAGAAAATAATAAGCATTGGAACCCGGTGAAGATACGCATGAAGGAACAGCATAAGACGTCATGGACCATGGGTTTCTCTCGTTTCTAATCGTTTTGGAGCTTTGCGGCTTTCTGAGCGACTCTTTTGGCACGATGAAAACAAATTATGTTGGATTACTACTGCGGGGAATGGCACCTCTGGAGGAAACAATTCAACTGATTCGCTCCCATAGCAGCGTTCACGATGGAATTCGTTGTCGAGCTGGTGCTAGACGATTGAAATTAAATTGAAATGCTGAGAAATGGGGGAAATTCGAAAACGTGAAATATGATCTAATGAATTTCAGGCCACAGGAAAAACCCCATTCAATTTCGAAAAAAAAGAGGAGATAGGAAGGTCAGAATCAAAAAGAGCAGTCGTCAGTTCTTCTTCATTGACCGCAACTTGTTTTGAGGATATTAGAAGTATCCTTCTGCTTTCGAAATACAGAACGCGCGTCGAGTGCAGACCGCACACCAAAAATGGCGACTGCTTCGTACTAACCATGGGCCGGATTCAATCCTCCCCCAAGGGGTTGGGGGACGAAAATCCCTTTAAATTTTCTCTGTCTTCCCAACTGGGATTGTCCTGATAAAGGGCCTACATTTAATGTATGTATGTAGGTCAAAGTAAACATGCACTGAAAATGAAGAAACTGTATCGTTAAAAACAAATAAATTTAAAGGGATTTCCGTCCCCAACCCCTGGGGGAGGAGGATTGAAATCCGGCCCCTGGGGGTACCCCTATCGCCTTAATCACGAGAAAGCGGTCCCGCTGCTGATTTTATGGCCCGAGGAGGCAGGGTTACATCATAGGACCAACCATACTCTGCTTTTCTAGACTGCAGACTGCGTGGCCCCTTGAAAAAAGGGTGATTTGGCAGGGAGGGCAGGGGAGGATAGCTACAACATCATGGTTCAATAGCGGCTCCTTTGACGCAACCCTGTCTCCCCCAAGCTTGGGATACTTAGAATCAGCGGCTGGGGACACTTCCCCTGGGGAAGGGTACCACGTGATATTTCCAAGCTGTCCCATAGTCGTTGAGTGAATACATGGGTCTCCATCTCTATTTTAGTGCCTGATGAAATAAGAATCCCAAAGAATCCTTATTTCATCAGGCACTCCATTACCCACTGGGTTACCCCAGGTATGTCCCTGATCCATTCATCCGCTCGAAATCTGCCGCGGACGAACCGAAATCCGACAAAATTCGTTCTTGAGATAGCACACCGCTGTTTCGCCGGAAGTATAGTTCAACTCGATGAATTTAATAAAGTTTCCCTTACAGTGTTCCAATTTTTAATTATTTCATTAGGTAGTGAAAAATCCACTTCCTGCATTTCCCCTCTAATAAAGGACAGTGTCTAACCTACGTTATTATAAATTTTTAAGCGCGCTTGATTCATTCGAAGAAATTTCCGAATTATTCAACAAATGACCCTAAGTGCTCATATTATGATGTTTAATTGGTTAATGTTTAAAGTTCATGTAGAGGAATTGTAGAAATGATGAATAATTCATCAACCTCTCAGTATGGGTTTCCGAAGCGCTGACTTGCACTTTTTACGAACCCCCATATTCAATTCTGAAACAGCCAGACAATCCATCTATGAAAAATTTGAATCAAATATTATTACCCCTTACGTTAGAATGCACAAAAAATTGGAATCACATCGGAATCTAACTTTTTTGGCCTTCAATGGAGGCTACTCGGGCAGAATTGAGCTGACAAAGACAGAGCGAATCATTCGCAAATGCTGACTTATTGGTGCTTATCCCAGCCATCTAAGGACGAAGGCAGTCAATTCACAGCGGTCCATTTAGGACACTCCACGCATATGGCTTCCATTCAGAATCACAGAGGCATGTTAATCGGATGCATAATATTTTTCGTGTTCACTAGTAATCGTAGACGAAAAACAATGTTCAGGTAGCGATTTTCTCCTCTCATGCGTGTATAAGGCCAATTGATAACCTCCTATGGAAGGAAGACTTGTGAGTTGGACGAATAAGGTTGGTCTCAGAGAGACCTCTGGGCAAGTCAAGGCGCTCCGCGTTGAGTGCGTTTTCAGAGCAGGGAGGATTCGGAACCCTGCCAAAATCGCATTTTTGAAACTACAATCAAAGAGAACGGGAGTTTCTTGGCAAAATTTGGGGAACTTC